TCTTCCGATCTCCCCAAAACCCCAAAACCCCAAAAATGATAACAGTTAACAACTGATAAAAGTAGAAATTAAAAATATTTATGCTTTCCAGTTGCATTCTATAGATAGGTCTGGCACTCTGCTTGGCTTGTTAACATATAAGTGTTCACTTCTTAGGAGGACATAGTCTTATTGCTAGTTCTTCGATATCAACAGCGCCATCCCCCTTTGGATCAGCCTCCTTCATGAAATCTTCTGCCTGCTCTAGATTCATCTTAGAACCCATATTCATGAGGAACTGCTTGAACTCGGGGTTGGGAATCTTGCCATCCTTGTCTCTATCCAACTTCTTCAATTGCTCCATCAGGTCTTCGACAGTGTCTACATCCTTTAGCTTCTCTTCCATGACTTCTCTTAATTTAGCGAAAGTGAAGAAGCCAATGTAATCTGGATCTATCTGCTTAGTTATCATCTCTAGCTCATCCTCACTTGGGTCAATATCTAAAGCTCTCATAATAGTTCTAAGCTCAACAACACTGACTTGATCCTTCCTCTCGAGGTCGAAGACTGACCAGATATTCTGCATGTCTTCAAGAGTTTCAGGAGGGATCACATCTTTCTTCTCTTCATTTCCCTCCTCTCCGATGAAATGCAAATCATTTTACTAGACACTGCCACCCTAGATTAGACCCATTGTAGGGTTTTAACCTCCCATCATAGAGGACTCTTTCTACATCTCACCAGGTCTGTTGTCATCTTGCTGCTGATCTTGCCCATCATTCTGAGCAGCATCCATCTGCTGGCCTGGATCCTGATTGTTATTATCCTGATCTCCGTCCATTTTATTTAAATCTTATTTGTATTACAATAATAGTTAAATGTTAATTAATAAAAGTAGATTTAATCTTGATAAGCTTTAGTTAATTAACCTACTATATTTATGCATGAATAATCTCTCATTTGTATTTATTTTACATCCCATTCAAACATTTGACCTCATTCCTTTCTTCCAATTGCCACTCTTGCCTTTCCTTTATTCAGACCATCTAAAAGGACACAGGCCTTGCAGAGATCATTGGAAGCGACGAATCCACACTGCTTGCAGTTCATTTTCTTGGGGAACTAGACATTAGAGGTGTCAATCTTGATTGACTCTCCACTGTGGATAATATCAGTAATAATTGATGGGCGCACCTTCTCTAAGTCCTTGATCAGCTCTCTCACATATCCTCTGTATGCGTTAGGAGAATAGATACATTCAGTTGAAAAATAATCTAGTTTCTTGAAATGAGCATACATAACTATTTCCTTTTCGTATGTATACTTAAATGGTTTGCATCTAGGTAAAGCATCCTCTCTTCCAGTCATGATGTCAACGCATTTATGAAGTCTAAAGAAATCTCCTCTTAGAATATTCATATAGACAGTCTCTGCGATATCATCAGCATTATGTCCAGTAACTATCTTGTCTGCCTTAATGAGCATGGCTCCACGATCAAGAGCCTATCTACGAAACACTCCACAGAACGTGCAATTATTAGTCAGTCCAATAACCTTCACAATTTCATCCATTGTCCATCCATATAGGTCTTTATACGATACAATAGTTAGAGGAAGCTCATATGTTATTTAATTCTTTTTCACAGTCTCAAGTGAGTCATCGCGATACCCTATAATACCTTCATCTACTGAGAGCAACTCAAGATTCAAGCCATAGTCGTATCTCTTATTCAGAGTAGTCATTACGTGAGCTAACACTGTGGAGTCTTTTCCCCCACTGGCACCAATAGCAATGCGCTCTCCTCTCTTGAACAGATTATTAGTCATAATAGTATGATGAATCTCTTCTTCAAATACTATGTAGAAGCACTCATGGCATACAGGCATTTAGTTCTTAGGGCGCTTTATCTTGGCATTCCTAGTCTAGCACAATTCACACTTCATGTTATTTATTTGAGTTCTGCTTATAATATAAGTATATTATCAATTATGTAGATTTCATTCGCAATCCAGTAATTTATATTATTCTTTTGCCCAATTAAACTAATTATATTGCGAAACGGGGTTTTGGGGTTTTGGGGTTTTGGGGTTTTGGGG